CTACAATCGGCATCCCCTACCGATTGTAGAGAATCAACCTCGAAGTACCCGCCCAAAATATCTAAAGACTCGTGTCGACCTCAGAAGGCCCTCCCACGAGTCCCACATCGAAAATGAGCACTAAGAGCATACTAAATGCCCTCTATAAATAGGCCCCTCCACTACAATACAGGGGTAAGACTTTTTAGCTTGACTTTTATACTTCTATATGGTCAACAGCAAGAGCTCTTAAAACAACAAACTTACTTCGGCATCGGAGGGTCTTAGGCTGGTTCCACACCGGTTCCATAGACCTTACGAGTCTCGACTTCTTTCTATTCAGGATCAGCATCCAAAGACAGGAAGAATCGGCATCCAACATTCAATCGATCTCTCGATCGTCCATCTCGTTTGTAAGTTGCACTCATCTCCATCTGTTCAGTTTTTAGTGCCAACAGGCCCCATATTCATGGCGAGCTCTATATTTTTTTATGATGTAATTTGATTTATGTGGTGTTTTTTTTTTGGTTAACTATTTTACTTTAATGTTTGTTCATGTTATGTTAGTTTTTTTTTTTTTTGGGTGAACATTTCAACCAAAAAAAAATCAAAATTTGGACAAGATTTGGAAATCAACATTTTATTTCATAGACACGATACAACATGGTTATATTAAAACAAGATGCATAACATTTATTTCAGCTATTAGTGAAAAAGAGATTAACAAAAAAATTACAAAAAATTAAATAATCTAGTGAGTGAAAAAATTTGACAAATTGATCAAGAGTGATAAAGATGTTGTGGTGTGTAAAAATTATGAGAGATATGGTGGATATTTATAGGAAGAATTGAGTTGCAAATCTATTTATTTTAAATTTTAAAAAAAAAAAAAGAAGAAACAATATTGCTGTTTATAGCCGTTGGACATATGTAGCCACCCGTTGGCTTTGAAAAAGTGGCTTAATAATATAGTTGTTCACACAGCTTTTGGAATTTTGGTTTAGCATGTTGGGTCTGTTGACAAAACAGAAAAATGGCAAGTAGGCTTTGTACAATCGCAAGGCAAGTGAGAGACTTGAAAAAGGTGGGTCGCAGCTTTTTTCCTTGCGGGACCCATTCGGTTTCAAGGGCTTCAACCAAGCACATACATTTAGTTACTACTCCGGTTGGGCTTCAAGTTTTAGAGCCCCAAACTTGCACCATTGGGTATGCCTTTTTAAGAAGAGTTTGTATTTATAGAAGCCTTGTGGTGGTTGAGCCCCATATAGAGCTCCCATTGGGGAAGGCCTAATTTACCCCCTTTACCTAAATACCTTTTTTTTTTTTTTTTTTTGGGTAACAACCTAAATACCAATTTCAAAGACCAAATGTGCTAACATTTAATCATAAAAGTAAGGCATAGAGCATAAACCATATTAAGGAAATATTTAGTACTTATTTATAGAATTAACCAGTACAAATTTAAACCCCGTTTATTTAGAGCCAATACTAGATAATGGCATGGGGGATCATGACTCCTATTTCATAGCTAATTATCCCAGACAGGTTGCATTAACATAATCTTGGGGATTATGAGATGCAACACCTGGTATTATGACTCCAAATACCCTAATGGCTTTGAGTAACCAACTTTCTTTGTACTCAGGCCCCTTTGCGTATGGGATTATGAAGCTTCTTATGAGCTCCCAAATTGCAGTTAGGTGCTTGGACATTGCCGCCCTCGGATCAAAGTAGTTCTTGTTTGGCTCTTCTTCAAGCGCCTGCAAGAAATAGTACATAATTAATTAACCTGCATTTGAATACCGTCATAAAAATTTAGCCCCTTTAATTACCTTAAGTAGAATTAACCAGTAAATTTACCTTTTGTTTATAGAAGCTGTTATAGTAAAGGCACTTCCCAAAGTGCTTGAACAAGAATGTAGGGCTATCTGAGGGCACCCTAGGAACCAGATCGTTACCATAAACAATCCTATGATACTTAATGTCGTGAACTTTCAATTGTTTCTTCATGAACTTTTGAAATACCTCATCCCCAACCCTTGGCTGCCCGAACGTATAAACCCCTTCCAATCTTTTCAACAATAATTCTTCGTCGTGCAATGCCAAAATCGCTGTAAACAGAATTTCCAGTGCCCCTCCCAAGCTGTGACCCGTCACTATAAATTTTGTGTTATTGTCGAGCTGCACAAGATTTCTCAAGTGCCTTCTGATGGTGTAATAAGCTAATGGGTGGTGATTATCTTGTTTGAGTTCTTTAGGCAAACCATCCTTTTCTGTTAAGCCTAGGGCTTTCATGAACCCACCATGCACTTTTCCAAGACGCCCGTACTCGAACCAGGAAATATCGAAGTCAGTGCTCCACGCATCTGCATCAAAGGGCTCGGTACCTCTGAAGGCCACGACGATCAATTGATCATCAGGATCGGTATTTTTATCATGAAGCAGGAAGGCTTGTGTGGTGGCTTTCTTTTGACAAACTGCCAGAGCAATATTGGGTTTGTTATATACACGTCCAAATCAATCACGACACCTTTAGACAAGACAAGAGCAACAAAATCAAGCAAATTGCAACACATGATATTTCTTGGATTTTGCCCTAAAACATTTTAGGTTTTTTTCTTTTCTTTTTTTATTTTATACAGTGTGGCTCTTTTCTTTAAACCAACCACTTTAGCATCTAAGTTTTCAATTTAAATGGCGTAATTTCTTTCGTATATATGCTTGGTGAATATTCTTCTCGACTTTTTTTTATATAAAAAAACCCTCAATATATATTCATGGACATGAACATCACTAGTATAGTAATAACTTCTATGATTAGATTCAGAAGGACTTATCTTACCATTCCAAAAGTTGTTGAACTCAATTAGTTCCATGTGCACCAAATTACAAAAATATATACTATTGTTAGATATGAACATTCTTACAAGATTAATTATAAGATTATTGTCTTTGCGCAATTGATATACCTATTTTTAATATAAGAGTAATTGTACCTTCCAATGATTTTCCACTGTGTTTTTAATGAAGGCTTTGTTCTCATACGCTATTTTAGCAGCCATGGCAGAGAGTGCTCCATAATATTTGCTATCTTTCCGGCTTATGGTCTTGTCCAACTTCACTCGCTTGTCTGTATGTCCAATAGCTGACATGAAACTTGGCGATTCTCTATCTTGCTTTAGATTACCTGATTCGTTCCATTTCACAGATAATTAATCTTTTCATGGACAACACTATATAACAAAATCCATGTTAATATTTTTTTATAATTAAGTTTGTATAATAATATATGTTTTTTTTTTGCCATGAATATTTACTCTACTTTAATAGAGATGAATCTAGTTGTATATGTCTTACCTCTTATATATTAAGAGAAAAATACTTATTTGGGTTTGTTCTATAAAGTGGCTAAATAATCCAGTTAGCAGAACAAACCTACATAAGTTTTTTCTTGTCACATGATGTTGTTTTGCCACTCTACAACATCATGTGACTGGAACATACCCACGTAAGTTTTTTCCTCTCTATTAGAGAGGTGGTCAAATAGCTATTCTTTGTGGTAAATCATGTGGTCAATGCAAAGTACTCTTTGTGGTAGATTACATGCAAATTTCAGTACAAAAAAAGGGAAGAAAAAAATGATGAGACAGTCGCAGACTCGCATGCAAAGAAATAACATGCAGATATGGGACTTTGGGACGACTAACCGTGTAAAACATTATGAATAAGCCCAAGCCAGTTTTGGTTACTAGAGGGAAGGTTTAGAAGCCACTCGAACGCTGAACCAATACATCTCAAGGGTTTGGCGATCCATAACAAAATCATTTGCACTAAGAGAGACAGAAAGATAACCACTTTATGTTTGCGATTTTCTTCCTCCTCCCCCTTTGGGCACTCTATCATAGCATCTGCTCCTTCTGCTATGTAGCCAGACCATAAGAAGCGTAAGAGCTTGATTGGATTCGCTTTGTTTGGTCTCAGCACCAGAAAGTTACTGCAAAATTCGCAGGGAGCCATAGTTTCAGAAGCAAAAGAAGGCAGGCCCTAATGGTGTTAGGCTTCTTTTTGGTGTTGTTTCAGGATCATGCATTGATCAATATTTATAATGCTTTGCTACGTCACTCTGTCGTGTAAAGAATAAGCTATCACTCATGTTTTTCAAGAAACGCTTTCCACTGCTTTTTGATTCTTGGAAATTTTGATTTTTACCCTTCAAATCCATTTTTTTCTTGCTTTCAAATCATTAGACTAACTTCTAAGCACATTACGTAATCAAGTTTGATGTGTCATGTTTTATATTTTATAGATCCCTAAAATAACTCCACTTAAAATTTGATACGCTATTTGAGTTGTCTTTGCAATTTTTGTTGTCTCTGTTTATACCCAAAATGAACAGCCAATAAAGACTGGACACGTGGAAGAAATCGAGCCTGGTCAGGGTAGCCTTTGGCACCCTGCCTACCGATCGCTCCATTAGGGCAACACCCTCTCCTGGGACACATGGCATGCTCACGATCGACGTCCACAGTCCCACATCGAAATTATCAACAAAGTGCACACCTCCCAAGGCCTATAAAGGAGGCCAACTACCCCAGAATAAAGGTAATCAGAACGAACGGCATACTGCCTATTTGATCTGTCAGTTAACTTTATTAAATCCGAACTTACTTAAGCATCGGAGAGCCTTCGGCCGGTACCATACCGGTGCCTTAGGCCTCACCGAGCGTTTTTCTCATATTGCAGATTACACTCTCTACCGAGGCCATCAGGATACCGAAGGCCCAAAATTACTAAGTTGTGCCCGAAAAGGACTAAACCCATTTTTGAGCGTCAACAGTCTCCATTCATCGTGCTGAATATATTTTCAACATATTTGCTGTAACTCAATTACCAGTAATACTTTCCTCCATCAGGTGTATTTTTTCCTTAATATCAACTATCACTTCTAAAGGTACGTATATGGCTCCGTCCCTCGTCCAACAATTGTATTTATACAGAACAATATTTTGGTGTGCTGTCCCTATTTGAGGACAAATGTGATAAGATTCTAACCCAAACAGGACCTTAAAAAGCTATATATGGAATAAAGAAGTCTTCGAGATCAGATGATTTCAAAAGAATTGCCTTTTGTGAAAGCTACTTTCAGAGCCAATGGCTACAACTATCACAAACTTTTTGACCACTCGTGTTCCACGAAATTTTTTTTTTATGGCCTTTCTTGGTAATTGCAAGACTTGTTCGTGTTCCTCGTTTTTGGTTCTGCCAGTGTCACACGATGCCAATTGCACAAGACTTGTAATTGGCTCTCAAGATAGAAAATTTACCAATACTGAGAGCCAGAGTGCTACAAACTTCAACATCCCAGAGCCGGATTTTAGGTTTTTCCAATTCAAAGCCAGATTAGCAGTTTGACAAAATTATAATCTTAAGCTTATTTGTTACCAAAATCACACATTTATTCTAATTAAGGATCTTTATGTCCTGCTCAAACTTTTAAGGACTGTACGATCTTCATGTCATATGTCTTTAAGTGGGACGAAGACGTCTGATGATCCCAACCGGGTGGCATTAACATAATCTTGGGTGCTGTGAGCTGGGGCGCCTGGAAGTACCAAACCAATTATCCTAAAAATTCTTAGAAGCCAACTTTCTTTGTAGCCTGGTCCCTTGGTGTATGAAATAGTGAAGCTTCTAATCAGCTCCCAGAAAGCATTTATCATCTTGGGTATTGCCCCCAATGGTGAGAAGTAATTCCTATATGGTTCTTCTTCAACAACCTGCATACGTAAAGCTTCAAAAAATTAATTAATGTATAAAGAAATCTAGTCTAGGGCCTGTGTATAAGTGTTTTTGATTGCGTAGAAAATAATATTAATTTGTAATATAATTCTATGAATTATTATGAAAGAACGTTTTTAGTTATCTGAAAGCGTTTTTGAGATTGTTAAAAGCACTTTCATACAAGCTCTAGTCTTGATTTTAGTTTGTGAAAGGAATTTTGATGCGCTTACGTACCTTCACTTCATAGTGCCTATTATAGTAGAGGCATGTCCCAAAGTGCTTGTACATTGAGACATTGTCATCATAAGGCAACCTAGGCACAATATCATTACCATAAACAATTCTAAAATATGGAACGCGATGCTCTTTCAATTGTTTTTCCATGAACTCTCCAAATTTCTCATCTCCTACTCTTGGCTGCCCAAATGTATATACCCCCTGCAACCTCTCCAATAACCATGCTTCATCATGCATAGCCAAAACCGCTGGAAACAGAATTGCTAGAGCCCCACCAAAACTATGGCCTGTCACTATGTATCTTGCTTCATCATGTTGTCTCAAAAGTTTATTTAGCATGTCCCTAATGGCATAGTAAGCTCGGGGTCGGGGTGGTTTACCATCTTGTTTGACTTCTTCCTTAGGCCAACCATCATTCTTGTGTAACCCTAAAGCTTTCATGAAGCCACCATGAAGTTTGCCAACCCCGTGAAGCTCATACCAGGAGAAATCAAAGTCAGAGCACCATGCATCTGCATCAAAGGGTTCAGTTCCTCTAAAGGCCACAACAATTGTGTCTTGGTCACTAGTTTTGTCACGAAGCAAGAAGGCTTGTGTCGTGGCTTTTCCTTGATAATCTACGTAGAAAGCAAAATCATCATTAATTATATATCATGTGGCCAATTTGAAATGAATGCAACTTACAGAGTGTAGGTTACTCCTTACCATTCCAGAAGTCATAAAATCCCAAAAACTCCATCTGCTCAAGATCAATTGCATTTTTGGTGTTAAAATCAAATTCAATACTTAATTAATACTTGTACACAAACGGGATATGTTCTCTTGTTAGATTTACTTATGTTATCAGACTGTGAATCGAAATCATTAATCAAATTGATTCGTCCCTATCAGACAGTGAATCAAAACAATTAATCAAACTGCTAATAAGCTATATACCTTCCAGTGATTCTTGACAATAGTTTCAATGCATGCATTGTTTTCATATGATGCTTTAGAAGCCATCGCACAGAGTGCTGCATGGTAGTTGGCATCATCATGTTTGATGCTACTGTCCAACTCCACCCGCTTGTCTATAATCCCTATAAATGACAGAAATGTTGCCGATGTTTTATCTGGCTTTACCGCCCTCCCTGAAAAACAGCACCCGGGTCACATTTTAATCGAAGCAAAGACCAAAGATAACGTGAAAGAGCTGCACATTCCCTATCCTGATTAAATATATGTAATTATAATCAAACAGAGAAGAGCATGTAAACAAATCACTCTGATTAAATATATATACTTTACAAACATAGTTTCTTATTAACTACTAACATAATCAAAAGAACCATGCAATTTTAGAAGAAGAAAAAAGGGAACTCAATATATTCAATCATTTCCAGCGAACCATTTAGAACAACTTCAAGTCATTAGCTAGATTCATCCAAAATATGAGTAGTAATTATGAACAGAGGAAAGTTATAAGCAAAGCAACCTCGGAGGAAATTGAGCATGAGCATAAACACATTGCGGTTGCTTGGTATAAGGTTCAAAGCCACTTCGATACCCGACCCCAACTCTGAGAGTGGCTTTGACACAAACTGCAGAAATTTTTGACCCAAAATGGACAGAAATATAAACCATCTGCGCCTGAAGTTGATCTCCTCTACCTTAGACATATCTAAAAACTTATTTCCTTTCTCAAACTTGGTGGTGGAGAACAAAATGTGAATCAGATCAAAGAAGCCAACTTCTTCTGGCGTCAATTGAAAATAATTGCTGGAAAAGCTCTTGTTACAGGCCATGGCTTTTGTGCTTTGGCGGAAGATATATTATTATTCTTTGTTGCTTTGGTGGAAGATATATGTTTACTTAAGAGTTTATATAGAGATTAAAGAGAGATGGTAGCTAGGTTTGATGGCCATGTTATAATTACTGGTGGAAGATATATGTTTACTTAAGAGTTTATATAGAGATTAAAGAGAGATGGTAGCTAGGTTTGATGGCCATGTTATAATATTAATATTAATATTTCTTAGGTAGGTTTGATGCGGTTGATTAATTCAATAGCTATAGCTTATTGATTGAAAATGGACCCAAGACTCGAAATTTCTATATCACATCCCAAATGAGATTGGAAATCTTATCTTATAAATTAAAGTTTGACTTGATATTGGAAACTTGGTTGGTGCGAGATGAGCATCAAAATGCAACAATTAGAAAAGTTAGACGCATTTTCAGTAATGGGGCATGCAGTAATAAAACATATCTATCTGGACATGTGATGGGTCTACTAGAATTGATCGATAGAACCAAAGAAACAGAAAAAGGCAATGATTATTTTTGTTTTATTCTTAATTTTAATGTCACTGTGTTAGATAACCATTTAATTCTAAGAATTTTATGGTTGGGAATTTATTTATACGAGTAAATTGGGGTATCAGTACCACGAAGAATATTTGTAAAATAGTACTAATTGATGGGGAATTTGTTTCTAATATCGAAATTCAAATGCCATTAATTTATGGGAAATTTGAATTTCGATTTTTGGTTTTCATAGATAATGGTTGGGTGGGAGAGGAAGACATGTGAGGATCCCAATCTGGTGGCATTTACATAATCTTGTGGACAATGTGCAGATGCTCCTGGCATTACCAGACCCATTAGCCTGAACATTTTGAATAAGGGCCCTTCTTTGTAGTCCAGTCCCAACCTATATGGAATGGTTAAACTTCTTATCAGCTCACCAAAAGCATTCATCATCATGGGAATTGCCCCCATTGGAGAGAAATAGTTCTTGTTTGGCTCCTCCGGAAGAACCTGCACATGTTGTGTAAAGTTAATTAGGACACGTTTCTTTCAAGCGTAAAACTATTTGTACCACATTGGTGAACGCATTTTTAAAATAGCTAGAGGCACAACCCTCCTCCCTCCATAAGTGGGTCTTGCGTTTATTAAATATGTTGTCTCTTATGCAGTCTACCAATGTGATTCCTTCAACATTACTTGAATTTGATAAGAGAAAAGCAGTTGTTACCTGAACTTCGTATTGCCTATTATAGTAGAGGCAAGTCCCAAAGTGCTTGAACATTAGGGCCTTGTCATCATACGGCAACCTGGGCACGATGTCATTGCCATAGACAAACCTTAAATACTTAATCTTATGCTCTATCATTTTTTTTTCCATGTACCGTCCAAAATCCTTATCTCCAACTCTAGGCTGTCCAAATGTATAAACTCCCTCCAACCTCTTTAACAGCAGATCTGAATCCTTTCCATTGTGAAATGTTAAAACTGCAGGAAAGAGAATTGCTAGAGCCCCACCTAAGCTGTGCCCAGTTATTATGTATCTTGCTTTGTCATTTTCAAGCAGGTGCTTTTTCAGTATAACCCTAATGCCATAGTAAGCTAAAGCTGGGTGGCTACTGTCTTGTTTGAATTCCTCCGGTTTCGGCCAACCAACAATATTGTTCTGTAACCCTAGAGCTTTCATGAAGCCACCATGGATCTTTCCAACCTCTTCGAGTTGATACCAAGAGATGTCAAAGTCAGAGCACCATGCCTCCGCATCAAAGGGTTCAGTGCCTCTAAAGGCCACAACGATAGTGTCATGGTCATCACTTCTGTCACGAAGCATAAAGGCTTGTGTTGTGGCTTTTCTTTGATAATCTGTCAAAGACAATAATGATTTCAGTTAGTTTTGATTTTTAAGTAATATATAGCACACATATATCTAGGCATGTGCTATCATGTACATATATGAAATTATTGAACAATCTGATATGTTATGTTAACTACTTATGTGTAGATGTTAAATTATCGAGTTTAAGACAATATTCGTCTTTGATTGCAGGCAGGGACGGACCCATTCCCAGGCTAACCTGGGCTATAGCCCAGGTGTCTTGATTTGTTCTAGCCTATAGTAATACTACCCAGCCCACCCAAGCAAACCCCACAAACCCTTAGATAATGCACGCAGAGCACAAACAAATTGAAGAAAGAGCTAATCATCTCTCCTGTTACATGCCCTGCAATGCTTAATTAAAGCAAACCAAATTAATCTTCAATTATTAATCTTCTTTTATTGTCTTAATTTGTTGATGTTGAAATTTGGAACTTTTTAGAGTTTATGAAGTATCAACTAGGGATTTACAATTTTTATTTAAAAAAATTCTATGTAATTTTTTTTTTTGGCTTGGCCAAAACATTTGATTGTACAGGTTTTGTAATTAAAAATATACAAATGAAAGTAGGTCAGCCCCTTATAGTCCCCTAAAATTCCAATATATTTTTAATTATAATCATTCATGTTTTACGCTATAAACCCTTAATCCTAATAATTTCCACATTTTTGGAAAGAAAAAAATAGCTTCATCATAAGTAATTGTTTAATTAGTATGAGTTTATTCCTTTTGTTGGTTAGTGTGAGTTTTTGTTTTGGTTAATTAATATAGGTTTTGTGTTTTTAAAAAATTGGAAATTTATACATGTCGATTCCATTTATTATGTTCCTCCCTTCATGGCTTGTGCGTAAGGTAAATCTAGCCCATCCTAATTTGAAATCCTGGGTCCGTCCTTGTAGGGTTGACATATTGAAACTTGTCAGATAGCTTATAAAACGTTAGCATATATAATGTATGAGTGGGATCTAATTTTAATTTTTTCTCATACCATTCCAGAAGTCGTAAGAGCCCAAGAACTCCATCTGCCAAAACAAGGGAAAAACAAAACAAAAAGGCAGAGTTTTACTATTAATCATACAATTATTAAAATTATACGGAAGCATATTGAAGCAAAAACTAATTGAAGTTGTAAATTGCCATACCTTCCAGTGATCCTGGACCACAGTTTCAATGTAGAATTTGTTCTCATATGATATTTTAGACGCCATCATACAAAGTGCTGCATTATAATTGCCATCTGTAAATTTTATGTTTCTGTCCAGCTCTACTTGCTTGTCCAAATGTCCAATAAACGACACGAACGTTCTTGAGCTTTTACCTGGCATTCCCTTACCTGTGCGTATATATATATATATATATTAGTCTCCATTTATGGTATGTTTACTTACGAGAAATGGAGGAAAAAGGGATTGTTACGGGAAGAAGAGATTTACATTAAGTTCTTTACTAACCATATAAAATTGAATTAATAATTAATCATACCAATCGCATGCATGAGAACAATGAGAAGGAAGCGAACTATGTACCTCCCAGAAAATTTTGCAGCAGTCCAACCATGTTTTGTCTGCTTGAAAAGATATTCAAGCAAATTTCGATCACCCAGCCAACAGCTGCCATTGGCGCAGCGACAAATCGCAGCAATGATATCTATGCACCAACTTGAGGGGGAGTGTTAGCAATAGTCAATTAATGAGGATTAGTTTGGCACCTACAATGGTTGGTAGCCTACAATGTTTAGTCAATTAATGTGTTAATTATGTAGTAAATTAATGTGTTAATTATGTAGTCAATTAATGTTTGGCACCTACAATATTTGGGGGGCTTGACTAGGTTGGTTGCCTAACTAGTTTGGTTGCCTAATTAGTTTGGTTGCCTAACTTGGGGGGCTTGACTAATGTCTTAGGAACTTGTATATATATGTGTTGATTGTAAGGAATGAAACATAAGTGAAAATCAGAAAATATTCTACAACTCTCATTCTCTCTACACTTTCCACTCTCTACTCTCAATATTCTCTATGTTTTGGCATCTTCGACTTCTTACAGTGGTTGAGTTTGCAGTGCTTATTTTTTTCTGTGCTCTCAACCACATTAGAAGTAGTCTATATGTAGTACTTGCAGTATCAACTGTGGTGGCTAGATGTCAAATGGCCAAGTCCTTTTTTAGACTTCTTTCACGCGTAAACTTCAAAATAAGTTTGTTGAAACTAGTGGTGTGGAGTCTTCTTTTTTGTGGGACAATGCTATTTTTTCTTTATTTATCAGGAATGACCAATACTTTACAAGGTTGACTTCATTTGGCCCCGCATATATTCCTCATCACTCTACAGTGAGGCTCTTCCTTGTATGATCTACTTAGAAACTTGTCAGAGGCTTCGAAGAAAATGCACAACTACCAATTATTCCTGGCCTTTTGTTGAAGACTACGAAGATTGAATTGGATTATGCTGTAGAATTGGATTGCATCGCATTAAAAATGATAACATTAATTCAATTATGTGTTTGATACTATACATTATTAAGGGGTTGGATTAATTGAAATGTATTATTACATGGCTTAGTAGGATTAGATATAACCCAATTCAACTTAATCTCAACTTTTTAATCGGATTCATAATCCTACTACATTTGGCTTAATAGGATTAGACATAATCCAATCCATGTTGTTTTTAGGCCACTATAAACATTTAACTAGTATTATGAATCATATCCAATTACATAATCCAACTAACCACAGGGATCAAAAAGGAACAAAATACAAAACAAAAGAAGAAGATGAAGATAGCCATGTGTGAACAAGATATCAGAAAAATCAAGCAAAGACTTTTCCATATTATTTTTAATTTTATTTTACTAGTCAATGTCAAACACAAAGAGACACAAAGAGCAAGCAAAAGAAGTAGTCCACCGTATCCTTTTGGATCTCCTTATAAATTCTTTCTAGGAATCATCGTAGAAAAGTCGTAGAAAATTATTAATCTGTCCTACTTTCTTGAACCCTTGATCAGATTCTAAAAGTTAATCATATGTAATTCTGTTCCACCTACCGACGTTTTGAATAAGGGCCTGCGGATCCATGAATTCAGCACAATAATGTGATTAGTCATCTTATACTCATTTTTTATGTTAAATCATTTACTTTTTAACTTGTTTTCAAAAGAAAATTATTATTATAGTATTCAAATTGCATAAGTAAAATGAGATTATAAAATAAATTTTTTTTTAAAAAGGTCGGTTTCTTGACTTGACGTGGTGTTTGGGCATCGATTATTAATTAAATATGGTTTCTTGATTATATATATGAGAGGATAAACGACAACACTTGGGCCACAAGTTGATTCAATGTGGGCAGCTGCCCCCACTGATCACTGTGTGGTTCCACCACTTGGGTTAAAATTGACTCCAAGTGGAAATTTATAACTCAAACAATTCTCATGCTACAATGATTCTTGTCGTTTGATTGGTAACAATCTATAATTTGGCTTCACTAAGGCATCAGTTAACCTACTATATAATGTATTTGGATGAAAGGAATTTGAATTTCGATATATTTGGAAGAACCATAGGTTCATTTAAGCATTAATCAACAAATACAATATATTTGGAAGAACCATATAACTTGAAATTGATTACAACTTAAATCCTCCTCAGAATCGTAGGCAGTAGTAGTTCATAGATAATGCTTGGGTGGGAGGAACACATGAGAGGATCCTAATCTGGTGGAATTTACATAATCTTGGGGACAATGTGCTGATGCACCTGGCATGACCAAACCCATTAGCCTAAACATTTTTAATAAGAGTCCTTCTTTGTAGTCCGGTCCCAACCTATTTGGAATGGTGAAACTTCTTATCAACTCTCCAAAAGCATTTATCATCATGGGGATTGCCCCTTTTGGCGAGAAGTAGTTCTTGTTTGGCTCCTCTGAAACAACCTGTACATATTGTGGAAGTTAATTATAAGGTACATTTCTTTTGGACGTAAAATTATTTGTACCACATTGGTAAACCATATCTTTAATTTGCTAGACGCACAACCCACCCCTATAAGTGGGGTCTTACGATATGCAATCTACAAATGTGATTCCTTTAACATTACTTGAATTTGATAAGAGAAAAGCAGTTGTTACCTGAACTTCATATTTCCTATTATAGTAGAGGCAAGTCCCGAAGTGCTTGAACATTAGAGCCTTATCATCATAAGGCAGCCTTGGCACCATGTCATTACCATAAACAAACCTAAAATACTTAATCTTATGCTCCATCATTTTCTTTTCCATGTATTGCCCAAAATCCTTATCTCCAACTCTAGGCTGCCCAAATGTATAAACTCCCTCCAACCTCTCCAGCAGCAAATCCGAATCTCTTCCCTTGTGAAATGTTAAGACTGCCGGAAAGAGAATTGCTAGAGCCCCACCTAAACTATGCCCAGTTATTATAAATCTTGCTTTGTCATTTTCAAGCAGAAGTTTCTTTAGCATATCCCTAATGGCATAGTAAGCTAAAGCTGGGTGACTATCATCTTGTTTGACTTCCTCTGGCTCCGGCCAACCAACATTCTTTTGTAAACCTAGAGATTTCATGAAGCCGCCATGGATCCTTCCAACCCCTTCGAGTTGATACCAAGAGATGTCAAAGTCAGAGCACCATGCATCCGCATCAAAGGGTTCAGTACCTCTAAAGGCCACAACAATAGTAGTGTCATGGTCATCACTTCTGTCACGAAGCATAAAGGCTTGTGTTGTGGCTTTTCCTTGATAATCTGCCAAGATAACAATGATTTCAGTTAGTTTTTATGTAATCGATCATATACCTATATCATGTGCATATGTTATGTGGAAATTATCGAACAATCTGACATGTTATGCTGTTTCAACCTAAATTACTTGTCAAACTACTTAAATATTATCCTATGTCGATGTATGTGTGGGATTTAATTTTAATTCTTTTCAATTTGAGTTTAGTTCTTACCATTCCAGAAGTCGTAAGAGCCCAAGAACTCCATCTGCCAGAAGAAGGGAAAAACAAAACAAAGAGCAGGTGTGAGTTTTGCAATTAAAATTCTAGTATTATTGAACCTAATTAAAGTTGTAAATTTTGACATACCCTCCAGTGTTTGTCGACCGTAGTTCGGATGTAGAATGCATTCTCATATGATATTTTAGACGCCATCATACTAAGTGCTGCGTTGTACCTGCCATCTCCATGTTTGATGCTTTTGTCTAGCTCTACTCGCTTGTCCAAATTCCCAATAAACGACAAGAATGTTCTTGAGTCTTTATCTGGTATTATAACCTTACCTGTACGCATAAACATTATCCAATATAATCTCCATTGTTTATTGACCTCATATGGTTCACAGATTGAATTAATTTCAGTAAATTTAACAATTAATGATAATAATTGTTAATGCATGAGAAGGAAGCAAACTTATACCTTGCAGAAAATTTAGGATCAGCCCGACCAAGCTTTGATTACTTGAGATAAGATTCAAGCACATTTCGATCCCCCACCCAATAGTTGCTATTGGCTTTGCCACAAATTGAAGCAACTTTTGCACCACAATAGAGAGAAATATAAGCCATCTGCGCTCAAAGTCATCCTCAGTCTCCTCAGAAGAGTCGACAAACCTCCTCCTCTCTAAGTTGTTGGAAAACAAGATGTGAATCAGATCAAAGAAACCGACATCTTTGGGTTCCAAGAGCATGTAGGTGCAAGAAAATCCCTTGTCACAAGCCATGATGATTTCAGAGAATTGATCTTATTTGAGTTTAGAATATTTATTTTTCTGTGCTCACAACTCAACCACGCTACAACTAGTTTATATATAGCTAGCTAGAGTTACTATTTATCCCTGCAAATAATTGTAGCATGCTCTTCTTTAGACTTCTTTGGCTCACGCGTTCACTTCAAGGAAAGTTATATAAATTCTTGTGGGACAAATTTCCACAAATCTGTGTAGTTGACCTAATTTTATCCAACTGTAATAGTAGTGAGCTCTTTTTCTTATTATCTACAGATAGACAACGTGCATTCAAAAAAACTTCTCAGAGGCTTCGACGAAAATGAACAAAATGAACGTTCTGGAGGCTTGGAAAAAACAAAATTAAAAATTAAAAAGGATAGTCATGGTGAACAAGATAAGAAATAAATATTTGTTTTAAATATTATTGGTAGCAACATATGGATCAAATATTTTTTCCTGTTTGTTACTTTTTTTAAATAAGATATTTTATAGATTTTTTCTCACACGCGGCACTTATGTTGCATAGATTCAACAAGAGAGTAGGTTCCATTCGTGCCACCTCATCATTCTTAACAGAATTTTTAGCTCAGTTAACGGTGAGGGTCAAAGTAAACCACCCTTAATCAAGAGAGTACTCTAGGTCGCTTTAATTTTTAGAAAATAAAGTGAGATTTGACCATAATTTCAAATGACACTATAGTAAATAAGCCTATTCAAAACGTTGGCTGGCCGTGGTCTTCGCCACTAGTGTTTCATTTTTCACGTGGTGTATGGGCTTTAATTTATATTGTATTTTTTAATGCATATTGACAAAAGACCCACCTACAAGTATTAATCATTTCAGAGAAAATGGAATTATGTT